TGGCCCTGGAAGCCCACGGGCACCTGCTGCTTGGCTCACGGCGGCGTCTGGGCAGCCCATGGAAAAGGCAGCGGCTTGAAGGGGAAGCCGGGGGGGGGGCATAAATCTGAGTCCTGCTCTTCTCTCTCCAGAGGCACCCGTGGAAGGCAGGCCAGGAGCAAACACAGCCCCCAAGGAGAGGGGAGCCCTCGTGCCCCGTGGAGGGCGTCCTGGAGGATTGGGCCCCGTGGCGGAGTCTGTGGCACCACTCTCCCTGCTGTGGCCCCGACACCGGACAGGCCTTTGACACCCCCTGCTTGAAACCGCCCCGAGTAGACATGGTCTAGAGGGGCGGGGTATAAATGAATGAATGAATGAATGAATGAATGAATGGAATGAATGAATTCCCAGTGTGGCTGAAGGGAATTGGAGACTGAGAAATATGGAATGTTTCCCTTCAACACCAATACACACACACACACGTTTCCATGGAGTCCTTGATATTATACTTGCAACCCTTTAACTTCTTTTATAGCCATGAATATGTAATTCAGATTCTGCACATTAGCAGCCTTTGTCTTGCCCACAGCTGGGAACCCCATAATCAGGTACACTGCATATATCACCCTATGACCTAAGTTTTGTACACCATGTATGTACCTGAGGAAACAGATTGCAGTCCAGAAAAGCTCAAACCTTCCGGCGAAAGGGACTCCGCCACCGCCTTCTTGGGCCAGCGTCCCTCCTCCTGTTCAGCTGGGATCTCCTTTCTGGTGAACGTGGGCCCACGGTTTTCGGGCCCTGGGCTTTGCAACCCCCAAAGGCCAGGCTTCCCTGCTCCTTCTCCGGGAGGGCCCTCCTGTCCCCCTTCCCCTGTTATTCCTCTGGGCTCCCTTCGTCTTGGGCAAAGCAACCCTTGATGAACACTGAGAGGGGACAGCCAGGGTCTCCCAACCCCAGGGAAAGGGGGAACCTTGTTTGGGGAGGCACGGTCCCCTGCCCTATAGGAGAGGGGGCCGCCTCCTAGAGTAGTCCATGGGGGGGGTCTCTGCTCTTCCTGGTCCAGACTTTTGCTAGCCCTGGAGTCGATGTGGGGGGGGGCTCAGCAATGGTGTCCCTCTGCCCTCCTGCCCGGCCTTCAAGGCCCCCCCCATTGGATGCTTCCTTCTTAAAGCAAACCTCCCCCCCCCATAAACACAAAGAGCCTCATGACGCCCCATGGATTAGCTATTTACCCCCGTCCAGCAGCAGCTTCAGGGCCCACCTGAAGACGTGAACTGGCAGCAGTCCTGCCAACGTCTGGCACAGAGAACACCTCAACGTCTCTGACGTGCCGGAAAGACTCTTCCTGGTTTTCGCACCGAGCAACGTGCCCTGCCTTGTGCTCTCTGGCCCCCAGCGGAAGGCCCGGCATACCCATCATCATGCCAGCTCTGTGCCCATCATGCCAGCTCCCCCATCCTCATCCCAAGCCTTTAATCCACAGAAGATTCTTCCCAGTCAGGACTTGGCCAAGATGGGGAGATTTTTTTTGGGGGGGGGGAACATAGGAAGAGATCAACCCCAGCTCTCTCCGTCTTCCTTTACTTTACGCCTCGCCAGAGAAGAGGCCACACTTGAGACAAATGCACACACACACACGCATGCACAAATGCGCACCTCTGGCTCCACAGATACTTAAGCCTTCTTCCCCTGTTCACAGGGTTGGGAATTCCCCAGAGCCTGGACGGAGGAGCCGGTGGGCGGGGGGGGGGGCAGCTGTCCGGCCTTTGTCTTCCCCACATCCCAGAAGCGCTTAAATTCCCCCGGAACAAAACGGTCGTGAAATATCAGATCGAAACGGCAGGTCTGTTTGCTGCCGTTTTCTCCAATGAAAAGGCTCTGGGTAAACAGCAGACACTTTTGATGGAATCCCAGCAGGCTTAAACAATAAAGCTGGTTACAAACTCAATCTGCCAAAGATATCAGATCTGAAATGGTTTCCAAAAAAAAAAAGAAGAAGAAGAAAAACAATCCACATGTCAACTGTATATTTTGCCCGCCCCCCCCCGTTCGCCCCTTTAATGCAGCCACAAAAAAACTTCCATAATGCTGTCAGCCTGCAGCTGTCAGGCACGATTCATAAAGCTACACGCCTTCCCCCCCCCTTTCGCCACCATCCCTGCAGATTCACACACACACCCTGACGGCTGGGAAAATGCTGGTGGGCCAGGGAGCAAAAGCTCAGGCAAGTTCTTTTCCTGGCCTGACCCCCCCCTCCCAGAAACCAGGTAGGGGGGATGCTGGTCGATGTCGGCCATGGAAAGGCACTTTCCTTCCGGAGGCCTGGCTCCAAACTCTCCTCCCAAGGCTGAGCTCTTCCCACCGGGACGGCCCCTTGGCAAGTGGCAGGACCAGCCGCGCTCCTGCACGAAATAGTTGCACTAAAATGCAACAAACACGGCTGAACTGTAGCCAGTTTAAAACACAACGGAAACACACCCGTAAACACAAAAAGTGAGCAACAAAACGGAGGTCTCCACCCCACGGGCGGCTCGCTAGTGATAGGCAACTTGGATGCCAAAGGCCTGCCTGAATCAAAATTTCAAAAGCTCCCAGCCTGCTGGCAGAAGGATGGACCAGCCTCCAGTGGCAGGGAGTTCCATAGCTCAGGAGCAGACATTGAGAAGTGCTTTTCTTCCCCCCCCCACAAGGGTGACCCCTGCAAAGACATTGAGAAGTGCTTTTCTTTCCCCCCCCCCACAAGGGTGACCCCTGCAAAGTGTCCCCAAACCACGTCCAACAGCCTAGGACTCTGATGCAGGAGGGAAGAAGGAACTCGCTGGATTGGGACCACCTGCGACACCATGGGGACTGGAGGCACCCACCAAGGCGGAGCCCCCCCCCAAGCAGGAGAGTTGACTAGCCAGACTCCTCCGTTGTGCCCCCAACCCATTGTCACCACTGCCACCCAGGACTTCCTGCTCCAGTCTCCCCCCCTCCACTGCCCTGCCTCCCCCGGGCAGGAGCCGCCTGAGAAGCGAAAATGGAGCGCTTGGCGCCCTTCCCGAGGACGAGAGCAAGAGAGAGAGAGGATCAATGACGGCCACAGGAGAAGCAGGCGCCAAAAGCAGAAAGGACGGCCGCGATCCTTCCCTGCGCATCTGCCCCCCCGCCTTGTCTTCTCCCCCCCCCCGGGGAAACAGTGACCCTCTGCCTGAGGTTGGCAGACCCTGACTCCACCGCTCCTTGCAAGGAGAGCCGGCGCCCCACGATACTGGGCCTCCCCTGCTTCTCCAGGTGGCCCACGGGAGGGGATGCCCGAAGGCAGGGGGCTGGTGTGGTCCCTGAACGCCCTCAATTCTCCCCACAGCAACACCCTTGCAAGGTAGGCCCTGTTGAGTGAAGGGCTGAGGACTGAGAGCAGAGGCAAGAAAGGGGGGAAGAAAGGAAGAGAGCAGGGGGGTCGGGCCCCCAAATCCAGTTGCCGGCCTTCTCCCCACCCCCACCCGCCTGTCCTTTGCAGCCCAGCCGATTCTCTGCTCCGGTGAGCGGTGGCCGGGCCAAGAGGTCGGCCTGGCCTGGCCTGCGCTCGGCTCGCTTGCCGCGGATGCGTCTCTGAGCCGAAGGAGGAGTCCCTGAAGTGCAAGAAGCCATTTGCAGGGAAAGGTTTTGAACCCGAGCGAGTGAGCGGAGAGGCTGCTTCTCTCTCTCTCTCTCTCTCTC